GCTAATAAAGTTTTTTTTTTTTTTTTTCTTTTCCTTTTATGCAGTATCTCGCTGGAGCCGGTTTCTCCCCCCTAGAGACCACATCCTGAATCTTTCATTGATTCTTTATGCTAAACGATGACTCCGCAGTCGAAATAATGTGGCATATTCTAGTTCGCATTTCAGACACTGTGAGACTTTTTAATAACGAGTTGCATGAAAAATTAGGGAGGCTGCAACAAAGAGCTCCGACGGAGGTTTCCAAAGTGACTCACAGCCAGGAGAGCCTGGCTTTTCCAAAGCCCAGCGGGAGACAATCTCAAAAGCCCCCGCGCTCAGAGAGAGCCGAGTCCTCCCCCTCTGGAAAAACCAGGCCTTTTTAAGGAGACTCCCCCAGGGTGAGAATCCCTGCAGGGAGGTTTGGCAGGCGGTTTGGGGAATCTTGGCTGAGATGACATCCCATTCCTATAAGCGCTGGCGGGGAGAAGTTTTCACCCCGCAACTCAGCTGTGCTGCCGAGGCTGCTGTGGGTGGGAGTCACCCCGTGCTGTGGCCGGTCTGGGCTCCCTGCTTGGCACGTTGGCTCTGCAACGCTCCAAAACGGGGTCGGCAACGATTCTCGCTGCTCTTGCAGGGAGGCAGCAAACCACAGCAGCAAAGGGCAGCGGAGACTGTTCCCGGCTCCCAAAGCGCTACGGCACCCACAGAGACAGCGAGCATTGCCCGTGCACAGGTATCGCGGCTCCTGCTTTGCTGCCGGCTCTGCAGCAATTTGTCAGACTTTGCAGCATGATGGAGGGGGAATTTCTCCAGGTTAATTTTTTGGCTAACTGGTTTTGCTTCCTGCCATCTACACAACCAGCTGCCAACATATTTCAAGGGGGAACAGGGGGGGGAGTGCATCCAGTGCAGCCCCCCACCAGGCGTTAATGCCATTTCTGCTCAGTCCCAGTGGAGACCAGTGCCTGGCTGCTGGGGCGGGAGGTGCGGCCGGCTGAAGGATGGGTTTGATGCTCTCACCCCTCTCCCAAGCTCAGCTCCTAATTCATTCTGTGTCCCATGCTGCTCCCGCTTTCATGGCCTCTGTGACACCCCCAAACCCCAGGAGCTCTGTGCAGCACAGCTCCCTGCTCACCCCGTAACCACTGAGCACCACTCGCCCCAGCAGACCTCCCCAAAAAAGGTTTTTCCTCCAGTGTGGCCCAAAGGAGATCCCCCTATAGCTGGCAAAGGAAGGCTGAAAATAACGGGGCAGCCGGCGCGCAGGCAGCTCTTACCACGTTCCAGAAGAGCGGGTTGAAGGCGATGGAGAGGACGGCTGCAATGAAGCCAGTGTCCACATAGCCAAAGAGCTGCGCCATGGCTGTCACATCCACCTGGGGGGCAAGAGTCAGTTACTGGGGGTGCGGATTCATCCCAAACCAAGCACATCAGCTGCCCTGCAAGAGCCGATGAACCTTTTAATGGCCCCAAGCGACACGTTGTTAGGGCTTGCAAAGCGCTGTGTCAGGGTGCAAAGCCAAAGAAGAGGGGTGGGGGCTTCTCCAAGCTGGCTCCCCCCGACACCCCAGGCTCTCAGGGAGCCTTGCGTTTGCAGCAGTGCCCCGAAGGACATGGGGACCGCGAGGACACTGCTGCTGTGAGGATGGGCACCAGCGCTACGGGGCAGCTGCCAACCCAAGCGTGTTTCCAAGCCGCAGGGAAGGGAGCAGGGTTTCACAGCACCTCGGTGTCCCTGGGGATGGAGGACTGTCCCGGGGATGGAGGACTGCCCCAGGGATGCAGGTCTGCGTGGAAATTCCAAGCAATGAACTGTGTCAGCCTCAAACTTTCTTTCCATAAAGTAAGACTGATGCAAACCCCCTCCGCAGTGAGGGGGGAGATGCACTTGCATCGTAAGAAGCTGCAAAAGACTTTCCTATCTTAATAACAACAAAAAAGCCTTAAAGCTCACTGTTATTCTCCCTTTCTCCTTTTAAGAAAGAGATATTTTTCCCAGGACGGCTCCCTGACATTGTCAGCACTTTTACGTGCAATAAGCCATGCTGCTTCTGCCTCCCCGCCCTCTCTCCCCGCAGCGGTATTTGGATGAGAAACAGCCAGCGCCTGGTTTTTGTTTTTTTTTTGCCAAAAACTTTGAAAACAAAAGACAAAATAGCCCAGCCCAAGCCTTTCCCTTGCTTGAATCAAAATCAAGACAACATTGAGACATGGAAGGTTTTTGCTTCCCAAACACAGCTGTGTTTGCAAGTCTGTCGGATGCCAGGGGACAGGAAAGGCTCTAAAAGGCATCGGCTCCACCTCGCCCATCCGGGTGAGAAATTCCCACTGGCTCCTCACGGGTTCTTCGAAGGAACCAGAGCCACAGTGGGATTCATGGAGAGCGGCTGCTAAACCTGCCGTCGCTCCTCGCCAAGAGCAAAGGCCCTGGGAACGAATGGCTCCTGAGCTGTCCTGGGACACATTCGGCCACTCCGGGACAGCCGGGACCACCCGTGGTGCAAAGGGCACGAGCAAGGGCTGCACCGCCCTGGGGAAACGGGGGGAACATCACGGGGGTCCGCTGCTGCCTTCACACTGCCACCACCCCAGCTCACCAGGCTCCTCCATCCGAGCCCTCGGGATGCGGATGCTGGCGAGGAACAATGGCAACAGCCCCCAGCGCCTGATCCTGACCCAAATCCCCCTGCTCCCCAGCTCTGTCTCCCCTCCTTTCAGCCCCAAGCAGTCCTTTGCCATAAGACCTCATCCCTTGGAGCCGTAACCCAGGCACCCAGACAGCCGCTGGCGCCGGGGCCGAACTGTCTGGTCCCAGTTCAATTGCAAACCCGTGGGACCAGGACAGCTTCTTTCCTCTCGTTTTGTACGGCACTGAGCACACTGCCAGCACCGAGCTGAACAAAAGCTTCTTGACCTACTAACTCCCGGCTGGCAACCTCGTTAACGGTGCGCTCACCTTCTTTTTTTTTCCTCCTCAACGTTGGCCGCTGCCGGCGGGAGGCAGATTGGCCTGTGCCGAGGATGTGCTTTTAGGGATAAAAGGGGAGCCCATTAGGATGAGCTGTCTCTGCAAGCCGCTGGGACAGCCACGTAACAGGCACAGAACATTCAACTTTGCCCCCGCTTCCCCAGTGGGTGATAAAGAATGGTGGCAAATGCTGCCCGCCAGCCCACAGCCCCAAAATCAGGGAGGGCAAGAGCTGCACGGGCACCCAGAGCTGCACGGGCACCCAGATAAGAGGTGTATGGACACCCGGATACAAGCTGTACGGGCACGCAGATAAGAACTATATGGACACCCAAACAAGAGCTCTATGGGCACCCAGATAAAAGCTGTACAGGCACCTGGGCAAGAGCTGCATGGGCACCCCGATAAGAGCTGTATACGCACCCAGATGAGCTCTACCGGCAGCCAGGAAGGAGCTGCACGAGCACCTGGGCAACAGCTGCACGGGCACCTAGATAAAAGCTGCACAGGCATCCAGTAAGAGTTGTATGGACACCCAGACATGAGCTGTATGGGCACCCGGATACAAGCTGTACGGGCACCCAGATAAGAGCTATATGGGCACCCAAACAAGAGCTCTATGGGCACCCAGATAAAAGCTGTATGGGCACCCGGGCGAGAGCTGTATGGGCGCCCTGATGAGCAATATGGACACCCAGGAAAGAGCTGCACAGGCACCTAAAGAAGAGCTGCACAGGCACCCAGATAAAAGCTGTATGGGCACCCTGATAAGAGCTGCATGGGCACCCTAACAAGAGCTGTACAGGGACCCTGACATGATCTGTACGGGCACCCGGACAAGAGCTGTACAGGCACCCCGATATGATCTGTACGGGCACCCCGATGTGATCTGTACGGGCACTCCGATATGATCTGTACGGGCACCCCGATATGATCTGTATGGGCACCCCGATGTGATCTGTACGGGCACCCCGATAAGAGCTGTACGGGCACCCTGACATGATCTGTGCGGGCACCCCGATAAGAGCTGTACAGGCACTCCGATATCATCTGTACGGGCACCCCGGGGGCTCGGGCGCGGTGCCGGTGCCGCCCTGTCCAC